GTATACATGTAAATCCGGTTGACGTCTCGTAAATAGGAAGGAATGCATATCCTGGACTTTATTACTAGTCGCCATTTATATGTGCTTAGCTGTTCATGTAAAAATAATTATGTATACATTATGATTTATTACTAATTCCAACAGTGAGCACGTGTGTCTCTCTCTGTTCTCTCTGCCATGGCGCCCACCCACGCGCGTGGGTGGGCGCCAGTGCAGAGAGAACACAGAGACACTCACGTGCTCACTGTTGTGAATTAGTAATAATCATAATGTATACATAATTATTTTTACATGAACAGCTAAGCACATATAAATGGTGACTAGTAATAAAGTCCAGGATATGCATTCCTTCCTATTTACGAGACGTCAAACGGATTTACATGTATACCAGAGTTGATTCTCTCTCCGAAACTGGAGCGCAGCATAGTTAACTTGAAATGTCACTAAATTTTCATCTTCGCTACTGAGTTCCGTATTCGACTGCGACCTACAGTCTAAATCTGCTTATAATGCTTAAGGCTTAATGAAACTATAGACAGTATCTACACAGGATGCACGTTTCAGTCTTAAACATCAATGAAAAGATTCAAACAACCCATCCAAATTAACCATTAAAATTTTTCATTTAATATGATGTTGATGTACACATAGTTTCATGAAAACTATATACAGTCAACCAAACTTTTGTAGATTACCTAATGCAAATTATGTGTTAGAAAGTTAGGGTTTCCATCCTATTTAAAAAAAATCATGATGAGTACTGCTAAAGGGTTTTGAATTATGAGTTAGACAATTCTAGTGTTTTACTAAAATCTTTATGATTTCTCTGCTAAGTACACTTGCGACTGATGCGATGTAAATATATATAGTATATATATATATAGTATATATATATATATATATATATAAAATTGTCCAGTATTCGTTCAGTGAATTAGTAGTTAAATGTTTCCAAAAACGTCCCTGGATTTGATATTAGATATTAATCTGAGTAGTGGCTTTTATTGTGCTATATTCAAAATGCTTCGACATATTAGACTGAAGAGATTCTGAACTCGTTATCTGTTGACTTCTTAATTAACAGGGAAGACTGTTATTAGTTTTGTATTTTGACAGTTTTTTTCACATATACTTGATGTTAGCCAAAGAAATGTTTTAAATGAATGACCGATGGGCAGATGTTTTGTTTCTTGTTTACAGACTCCTTTTGTGTACAAATCCACATTTTTACCTGAAATCGATTTTCAGATTTATCGAATTAGTTCAGCACTATTGTTGTAAAATGTTACTTCCCAGGAAGTGAATGGTTTAAGTATGAAGTTTAGTACTTTTCTAGATGACATCTTAAGGATAAATAGCATATAAATGAGCTAATAGCAGTTTCTTAATTTGAAACCAACGGTTTTTTTTTCTGTCGATGCTGAGTTCTGCTTGTTGTTATTAGTAACCGTCATGTTACTTGTTTGCTAACGCATCTTGTTTGTTTTTTTCGATTGACTTGATTCCTAACCTGGTGGCAGTCTGTTAGTTTTCTAAACTATTGGCAAATTGAATCTAGTTCATTATGATTGTTAATTGCTTTTGAGATTAACATAAAGCTTTAAAAATCATATAGTCTTCATTGTATCCCTTTAGCTCCAGATCCCTAACGGATTTCCAGCTGGATATTTGGGCGAAATTAACATCTATTGATATTAGCTAAGCACGTCGTAATGGGCTTGAATAGCTTAATGTGGTCTATGTAAACACCGATGTTCTTCGCAGTTACAGGAATTTTTAATAGATAATTTTCACCTTGTCTTTCGTCTTGCACTAAGTTAGCTGAATTTGACCATGACCTACACTTATTCCTGACATGATCGATAATCCAGTTACAAATTCCAATATGTTCTTCACATACAGAGAACAATCACTTTCGTTAGTTTACATTTGTCAATGAATATAATTGATCCATGTTTCGTGTTGACTGATGCAGTTTAAAAAATAACGGTATCTTCAGAAGTGGACCATCAAACCAGGAGTACTAACTTTCCTATAATCTTCCTGTTTTGTTATGAATTATGAATTTCTGTTGGAACACTGAAATTGTATTCGACTACCAGATATTTCCATGTTTGATTCTCGTAAAACTCGATCACCATTCTGTATCACAAATATGTGACTAACTTAACTTGCTTAATTGAAAGAGGTACAAATTTTCACTGAAGCCATTTAAAATTCGCCTCAAGGCAAGCTATTAATAAGAATAGTTTGAAATTACGATGAAAATATACACTGAAAAACTAAACACAATGATTCTTGTCTCTCTTTACTTATTATATTATATATATATATAGCATTTTTTCAGCTTTTACATTATTATAAGCATATCGGAAACTAATATAATTATAAAGCATACTTGCTGTATTCTTTTACCTTTTACAAACCAGTTAGAATAATGACTATCGTCATATCTAGTCATTTTAGGTAAATATAAATATATTCTTCATTTGTATTATTATTAATTATTATTTTGTAGTTACATAGTTGTTTTTAGCAAACTAATCAATTTATTATTGAAATATGTTGAGAGAGTTTTATCCCTATTCCATCCTACACACATAAAAACATTTGTATATAATCTCATTAAATTTTTGGTTATTTATAGAAACTATGTTACTACACGTATGAATTTAAAATATAGGTTACTGGTAATAAAAGAAGCATTTTTCACTATTCACTTATTGATATGCCTCAACTACTTACTCTATTCAAAAAATTTTAGTGGCTACCAAGTTGACGAAAAATACTAATACCTCTGTCTAGGTTTCCTTGTATTTCTGGTGAAATGAGATTATTCAACATAATTGTAAGGAAGACCTAAAGAGAGGTTTCTTAATGATTGTCATTTGTTATCAAGGCCTACATAAAATCTTTAAGAAAACTAATGTTACTGGTAAAATTCCTGATCCAAAGTGCACAGTGCCACGTGAAACGTAGCATATTTCCTAGTTCTTTTTACTGACAAAACTCATTCAGTTAGTTTACCAATGGATAGCTAGTGTAAGCGGTTTGGATATTTTGAGGCATTGATATGATTCCAGCTAAAAACAAACAACCAGACTGTTTTCCTATATGAATCTCTTGTTACAGCATACCAATCACTGAGGTACAGTTTCAAACAGGATCCTAGTTACAGCCCTTTCGATTCATGAATAACATCTCTGGCGAAATTTCTAAAGTAGTTTTATTAAGTAATGCCATACGTCTTGTCATATATTTTTTCTACATGGCTATTTGTGCAACTTCTATGCATATGCATGTGAGGATACGTTTTGATGACTTAATTTAGGTTTGATCCCTGGATAAGCGTTTGTCTCTCGTGACAATAAAAGTAAAGTGGCAAGTAACTACTTAAGGGGATAATAGTTTGAATTCATTTTTAATTTAAATATTTTGAACTTTGTTTAAAAAATATGCCAAACACAATCATTTCAGAAATATTATCAATAACCATTAGGAATTTAAGGGCATTAGGAAGTGATTTTTTTCTCTAGAACTGTAGTTTTTAGAATTCACAGAGGATAGTGCGTGGAAGTTTCAAATTATTTGGTAAGTGCAAGACGTATATAATTTCTATTTTATGACCGGCTTAAATCAAAAGATGTCAAGTAATTCAAATTTTAGGGAAAAAACGATCAAATAAAATTGTTATCATCTAAGGAAGAGTTTGTTGCTGCTACAGACATCATTTTGTGTAAAAATGATCCATCCTATCACGACCAACAAAACAATGAAGTATATACACATAGATGAAATAGGATTGAAATATTACATACATTTATCTGCAGCAAATTCAAACGACTAATTACAACACTTAGATAGTGAGAACTACTCTCAGTATATAACTCCACTGGTACTGACATAATTACAGACGACTTTGGTGCCAAACCTGTGTGAAAGTCTATAAATAGAGTCAGATAAGATTGTACACATTACCGAGAAATACGATATGAGAATTATACACTTTCAATGATTATATCCGTTTTTTTTATTTTATGAACTGATTATTGAAATAGTCGATTACCGCTGAAAACATCTTAATTAAAGATGAGTAGAAACATTCTTTAATACAAATAATTTACTAAAATCCTTAGGCTAATGCAAACACGTAAAACCGAACAGAAACAATGATTTCTAAATTTTTAAAAACCAGCTGAAAATTTGTCAAATGTATCTCGCAAAATAATACATGTATAAGTTTATATTTCTAATGAACTGACATAAAATTTATTTTTAATCTTAAAAGTTAATTTATCCCAGTTTTTTCCTGCACAAGTAGTTTTTAAAAGTTTACACAGATTAGAGAAAGTTTCATCATTGAAATGATGCTAAACTGACGTAATCACTAGAAACCAGAAATCATTGAAATACTGTATTATTTTGATTTTCATACTCATTAGTGCACATCTAAGGACTCAGTATACCAAGTTCAGGGTACGAGGCTATTATACTATTAGGCATGAACTTCAGAGATCAATGACTCCTATTTTCAACTGTTTAGTTTTACTATGTAGTTAATTAAATCACTTCAAACTTGGTTGGCTCCATAAGTCACAGCTTTCCAAACCTTGATTCCGGACACATGTCATGATTGTTCATAATCGAAAAGTCGATTATTTTTTGTGGGATAGAAGTTTTGCAGGACTGAATATTCTGAATTGATGAGATTTTATTTGTACACAAGATGAACAAATATATCCTTCTATCAGTGATTAGCCGATATTAATCGTGATGTAAATCATATTATTTATGTGAACAAAATGAATGAAGCTTATTTAGTGATACGTAGGACTATGTTTTGATTTCCGAATGCTCACTTTAACAACGACAATTGAAAACTTCTGAGAAGAAATGCTTTTATAATTAAAGCAGTCAAGCATTTACTCTCTAGAGACAAAATATTGAACACTGAAAGCGCTCTGTCATCTAGAACCAAAGATGGTAAAACATTCACTTACTTTAGCTAAGTCAACTAGAGTCTTGCAGAATCTTGAACTTTTCTTTGATCGAGTTTTCATTCTACGAAGACTATAAGGAAAAATGTTTAAAAGAGAAGTATAAGTTTAAAAACTATTATAATAACAGCAATAAGTGAATAATTTAAATTTGAATCAAAAAGATTTTAATTCAGTAGAACAGTATTTACAATATTTAACTTGTTATCTTTTCAATGTTTACAAATATTTGTTTAGATATTAAGGAAGTGAAGAGCTTTTGAAAATATTGACACAATTTTTATTGCATTCTGAATTTTTGTGTCAATGGTATAGTGTTTTTTATAAGTAAACACTTTTTATAGCTTGGAAGTATTTTTTTTTTGAAGAACAAAACTGTTTTGAATTTTTCAATACTTTGAAACAAACATTTTCATTCATCAATTGAATAAAAATATGAAACGGAAAAATAAAACCATTCAAACCATGCAAAACAGTCTGAAAGTTTTTAAGAAATATCTACTCAGAATGTTTCATTCTGAAATCTTTCAACATATACATGCATATACACTGTAAAACATTAGTTGTGAGTGATTGAACTACGTATTAATTAATGTTGAAGTTGGTGTAAATAAACTCAGACAATGAGATTATTGCGTGACGCTGATTGTAACAGTTAGGGTATGTGTATCAATACCGATTCATCAACATCCCTATTATATATAATTCATTGTGACAGACATCTGTGCGAAGAAACATTGACAAAAATCAAATAAAGTGATCATAACAAAACATGAATCCATTTTCTTTTGAAATATTTAAATATTTAAAAAGTAGTGATTGTAGACTTTGAGGTGTATCAATATCGTAAAATGGTAAGATTACATATGCATAGACTAATTGAAAGCTATTTGTCCAGTAAAAAAGTACTCATTGGGATATATTTAATAAAGTTGAATACAAAGTTGTAAGTGGATATAATCTAACAAAATGATGGAGGCTAAGCAGTAAATAATGAATAAAAAGTTATAGAAATATAAGGGGAGATTATCTGATTCTTTCTATAAAATAAATTGCTCAGTCTAGGAAATACAAACAGAGCTGAAATAAGAAGTCAAACTAAAAACTAACAGAAAATGAATCTTGATCAGTTAGATCATGAAATAAGGTGTTGAAAGAATAAAAATTTGCAACTGTTGTCATCAATGAAATACGAAATTGACAATTATATAGTTTTGAAAGCATACATTAATTTTAAATATTTTGATGGTATTAACTTTGAAAATATCTAGTTGTCAAGGCTCATAGATAATGATGTACTGTTGTTATGATTTGAGAATTATTTCCTTAGTTTGGGAACCGAGCGATTGAGAGACTTGGCGTATACGTAGTTGAATCTAAGGAAGGTAGAAAGACTTGGCATTTGATACATACCAACACTTAAGGGCTAATAACTGGCAAGTAAGTATAAGGGAGAGAGAGAGACTAGAATTTTAGGGGAGCCTTTATATCCTTAAATCGTCCAAATCATGTTACAGTAATTCTATTTCAAAACTGTAACATTTACGACCTTGGAATCATTTATTAAAAAAGTGAAATAAAAAAAGTAATCAGACCATGGATGTCAGATATCATTGTATTAATATGAAATGATATTTACCGACGTCTTGCTTATTCATCGCAATTAAAACTTAGTAAAAGAAAAAATAAATTAGTTAAGGTTAGTCGTTGCAATCAGTTGTGAAAAATGAATTTATGCGAAAGCAAATGACGAATAACTAAAATATGAACGGAATCTGTTTATTTGCCTTTAGGCTTTCGTTCTTACTATTAAATATTCAGAACTGTAGTCTGACGAATGTACTTCAGGATGAAAGAAATGGTTCTTTTTTATTCGACAGCACTATTTGTTTTGGCGCTTTTTAAAAATATGCTACATGATTTTTTCTCCATCATTCCTTGTATATTTTGATATGCAACTCATATTTTTTATACGGTCGTTGATTATATATTCTGTAATATTGAAATAAACTTTGTCACATAAAATATTCACTGAAGTATTTTTCATATAGCAGCTTTGAAGATTATAGGATTTCTATTTTTTGAAGTGCTAGTTGCATTTCTTATTGTTTTTGTTTGTTTAACCTAAACTAAAAACTAATCTTAACTATTCAATGAATTTGAGATTTAAAATGATTGATTGATGACCAGGTAAAGAAGATAACTGAACGGGTGTTAACTTAATGAATGTGCAATACAATAAGAAGTGAGAGGATTTTTTAATAAGTTAAGAGATACACAGGTACGTATGGGATGAAATGAGTCTAGTTTTGAAAACTACACAAATTAACGCAATGAAAATACTGAAATCTTAATTCTAAATTAAGATTCAATATGGATATGCTTGGTCATTGCTCCATGATTTCAGTGAACCTAGTCACTTAAGACTCGGATTGCAAGCTCAATGAACAAGTTTGTATAATATCCTTTGAAGAATCATTTATGATGTCTTGTTGAAGTTAATTGAGTAATCATTTTTTCACTTGTGTATTCTGCCAATTATTGTGGGAGGTATTTTCTATATAATTTAACTGATCGTCTAGTATAAAAGTGATTTTTTCTGTTTTCAAATCCTCAGTGCTGATGGAATTCAAACGATAATATTGTACTGTTTCAATAAATCGATAGTGTTCTTAGTCTAACCGTATTGTCAAAAATCCATGGGGTTATATGTCATGGTAACCGACAGTTGTCAGCAGGCCTTAACTACAATTCTAAGTCTAAGGCTTGTTGATGACAGGCCTCAACCATGTTTTACATTATAAACCTTTTCCATGTATCCATTATACTTTTTATACGGCTTAATTAGAGAACTCTCAATACTGTGTACATTGAATAGACAAAATTGTTAAGTGAACTGAATCGAGAATTTCAAATTTTTATTTATCATTTTTTTACAATTTTTCTTTGTGTAAAACATCATATTTTGAGACTGAATTTAATGAGAACATAATGAAACTATTTTATTGTCTTTTACAAATTATATAAAAATCTTTATGGATTCGCCACTTGTCGTTGAAGGCATATATAAGGAGAAAATTAAGCGATAATTATTTCAAATATTACTGTACTGAACTAACAAAAATTAGAAATGAATTTCTTTGTTAGATAAGAGATTGAATGTACACCAGTGAATATACATATGAATATAATTGTAAGCAGTTTCAGTAACTTATTAGTGAAACTGAGTGAGAGATTAGTTTAGTAATGATGATCTGCTTGTTATTTAGTAATTACAATGGTAGCAGCTTTCATAATTCAAATTCCCTGAAGTCACAATAAAATTTAGGGAACGACCTGTTTAGCCAGGATGTAAACAACTAAGTTATATTAGATTGTGCCTATCAGTTAATGTATAAGAATATGCCAACGCTCATTGGTAAGTAGATATGATGGTCATCTAAAATTCAAGGGTGGTTGGATATATGCTTAATTAGTCATTTAAATTTTATTTAGTTAAAATATTTTAACAGAAATTAAGTTCGCATTGACATTGATTGTATGTATTGGATTTAATAAGCAGTTATGTGAAAACAAAGATTGCACTTGTTGTTTATGTAGTCAACTAAAAAATACCCATCTCTTCTCAAAATCTGGACATATTATACAATTAGATTGATCGTATTTGAACCTGCAATAAAATATACTACAAATTAATATATTTGTATAAACCTAAAATGAAGGTTATAAAAATTTTCATAAATAAGAGTTATATACAAATACTTGGCTACTACGTTACTAGTCTCAAGTGACTAAGTCAATATTACAATAAATACAAGAAAAAAAATAATTTCATCTATCATAACTAAAGAATCACATAACAGAATTCGGTTGTGAAATTATTGATGAACACAAAATTTCACTGAATTAGAAAAAGCCATATGAAATGCAGGAAAATGAATGAACTGATAAATAAAAGTGAAACTACACAATTAAATAAACATACCCATGAATTGCTCTTAAAAATTTACGTTGATGTGTTCTAACTTTAGAAGCATCTACATGTTTGACAAGTTTTGTGTATTTATATATGAGCCATGTTTCTCGAAGTACATTGGCGGCATAATTTTTAACCTTGAAATTAAATGTACATTAAAAATCAACAGTGTTTTTAAACAATATATACAGGTGAATTGATTATTTTGAAGAAAGTAAAAACTATGATTAGTGCAAAATTTTATTACGTTCGGTTCTTGTCAGCTGTTTACAACCGCTAAAATTTTACAATCGAAGTTATCATAGAAATTGACCATGATTAGAGATACGTATGTGCATAATGATGCGTTGACGTTTTCAATAAAATTAATGAGGATATAAAAATATGTTACAGATATAGAAAGTGCGAGAGGAAATGTCCCAGAATATTGATTAGAAATCAGAAAGTTGTCAAAATATACAAACTGTATGATGACATAACCGACTTCAGATTAATAAAGACTGATAAGGGTTGAAACTAGTCAATTAGAATCAAAATTATGAATTGAAGGAAAATGAGGATGATGTAATCATAGCATGAGAAAGAGTGGGAATGAAGGATGATGTAATAGAAAGGATGTGATGTGAACAATATTTAACGTTATTAACGTTGTGATAAATTCTACAGCATGATTACGTTGAGTATATGGAGTGGTTAAGATACCTAAAGTCTCTGAATCTCTAATCAATTAATGCTGGCTATGATAAGCTAATTATCATGAGAGTTTAGTTTCTCAACTTTCAAATTAATGATTTAAGCAACAAAGAATAAGCTAATGTTATTCTCAGTTAGTTCTCATAAAGGTCTTATAATACTTTACATTTTTGGAGTAGACTATATTCAGCGTGGAGAATTAAGAAACTACCATATTAATTGTAGTATTCTATTTCCGTTTCAAAATGTAATGAAATGACCCATATATATATATATATATATATATATATATATATATATATATATATATATATATATATATTGCATTATAGATTTTTATCTTTAATAAAATCTGAGGACATATTTAATTCATTTTTTGCAGTGAAGACGAAACACGTTTGAAACTTAATCTATTATTACCAAATAATTAATGTCAAGTTTTATTAGATCAAAAAAATATCAACACAAATATTCCAGATAATGGTTGACATTGGCGATAAAATTAGATCATTAATCACTGCTTAAGATAAATAAGTGAACACAGTCGAAATAGATTTGGTCATTAATAAAAATAATAACACTGGTTAACATCAATCAATAATTTATTTTTATTTTACATTTAATTAAATTACCTTTTTGTTTAATTGATTTTCCATCATAAAATGAATCACATGCTTTTCTGCTTTGGATAATTCTAATTTTCTAGCAAATACTGCCACAACTAGTGCTGTACATCCAGAACCCTGTTTGATGAAAGTAATCATAGAATAGATAGTAAATAAAGCTAATTAAAAGATTAGGAAACTGGTAACACCGGTTATACTAAATATATAATCATTTTAATTGGTTAGTGTGCTATTCAGTTGTGGGGGGTTGTGGAAATCGGTATCATTATTAGACTGTATTTGCCATACACATTCGTGAATTTCCAATCAGAAGTTGTGATTGATGGAGTTCAGATACCGTAAATGAGATTGTTGTCAACGTTGGCATAAGGGTGAATACTAAGTTATATCACAAACTGATCAAAGTTTGAATTGGTCTATTAGGCGCTGACTCCGCAGTTCTAATGATTAAACATTTTTTGTGGTAACTAAAGGTCCTATATTCGACTTCTGGTGGTGGATACATTTTGCTAACATTCGCATTATTACAATGAAACGGTTTCCTAGTGCCGCACCGTTTCCAGTTACACCTCAAACAATACCAATGTGTAACGAACATATATTTAGAATACAATAAACTCATAATATGTTACATTGGTTATAAGAGATTTGAAGGGAGAAGCTTACTGTTGGCATTACCTAAACTATTTACGAGATTTTTTAATCATTAATTAAGTTCTTTGATAATTCACAAGTAGTATCAACAATATATTGTAAGACAGTGATATTTATACGATTTCTCGAAAACTAAAGACACCACAGTGTATAGTTTTGCATAGGAGAGATGGACTTGCAATAGCATACAGAAAACGTCAAGACATCTGTTTTGTTCAAATAAATATGTAAATTGTTTTAGATACATAACATATTTATTTGAAGCATGTTCTAAATAACGTGGAATTTCTATTGCTAAGAATTTGCTACAATTTTTATCGTTAACTGAATGAAACGGTTTGAAGTGAAGTGATTCACAACATTTTCATACTGTTCATACTCTTATGAGAGATTTTTTAACAGTGTGAAATATTTAGTAGATGAATATTCTGAAGTTTTATTGAGAACTAGTGACTTATGAAGTAAAATTAAGCTGCAATAAAACAGAAAACAAACTAGTGAAATGGGTTAACTTTAGTTTTTTGTCTTTAACAGACTGATTTTCAGAATTATGAACATCTGGGTCTCCATAAATTGAAAGCCATAATTCTTGGAGGTTGTTAAAGTCTCAGAAACCGATCAATAAATTACTGAGGTTGCTTTCAGTGTATACAATTGAAAACTAATTATTTTGTAGTTAATGATTTTCAGTGTTTTTCCAGACATTATGAAAATAGTTATTTGAATAATTTATTGATTCTAAATATACAACTAATAATAATTTCTATTTCTGTAATTGAGATACAATGTCATCCATTCATATGTGAATAATTTAAGAATATTTAGAGATTACATTAAGAATATTATAGTAACTTTTTTCTTCATACTTACCATAACCCCTGTAGCTAAAGCAATCACACGACCACAATAAGTATGAGGTACAATATCACCATAGCCAATACTCAAAAATGTGACTGCAATCAACCACATAGAGTTGAGTAAACTTCCATTCTCTGTGTCATAAAAACTGAAATAAATGAGAGAAATATTAAGTTGTATTGTTGAGTAGAAGTGATTATTAGTGAAATGAGAAACTTATTTCACTGTTATCTAAGTAATAATTTGGTAAAAACATTTCGTGACGATATATCTTGCGATTTAATTGTAAAAAATTTATTAAGAACAAAAAATAGATTAGATTTTTCAGATTTATTTACCTATTTCTAAAAAGTAGGTAATGTTTTAAATTAACATGCGCATTTTACTCTGAAATAAATATTTGTATCAAAACAATCACTATCAAAATTAACATAATACGTGAATCTATTTTATAGATTAAAACTAATTTTTCATCCAAATGAGTTTAAAACCGTTAGTACTCTTATTTTTTTATTTATACTTGTTCCAAAGAGACAGCAGTGTGTGAGTATATACTAGAATAAAACTATTTAACGTACGGAATACGAACTGCTTCAAACTTTAGTTAAAATATTTTTATCTATACATTGAATAATAAAAAACCAACCACTGGACAAGACGTCTATTTTTAATCAAAAATACAACTTTGCATTAGAATATTTTCACTCTATAGGAAAAATCTATGCAGTCGTTAGGTCAAATAGAACTTTTTTCTAAATGGAAAAAGAAGGGATAAGACTTTTTTTAAATAAAAAATAAACAAAGAAAGTAATTTGTAATATTGACCTTATCTTCTATTAAAACCACGAATTTATAACAACAAATTAACAACAAGTTGTTAAACCAAAAGATTTACATTTTGACAAATGGTATACACCCAAAGTATGAACAGTTGGAAACAAGAATGCTAAATTATTATGCATTTGTTTGTGGTAACATGTAGAAAACCACTTCTTTTCTTAAATGAACTTTTTCATTAACTCAAATGATTTCATTGACACTACTTACTAATTCTAAGTAATCTCTATTGAACAACAAGGTCAAATAAATGAAAATATTAGGGGAACCATTAAAATATTAAACAACCATTTCAGTATGCTTTGTACAACAATCACTAATGATGGGAGATGTTTCGAACTAACCAATAGAAAAGGATACTGTTTAAGTGCCAAGCTATCACTTCAATCTTGACATGAAAAACTTGATAATGTATTTAACTTTTAATATTTAAATGTCTATCTTGATATGAAGTTCATGAAAGTTTTTGTTGTTTCGAGTATCTATCAACTATAATATTCTTGAGTTAATTGTTAAGAGTTTTAAGCCAATGAAAATGTTGTTTCATTAACAGTAATTGGTGGCTAAATAAAGTTTTTTTTTACCATTAACTTTTTACCAATTCATTTTATTCTATTTCTAATCTCAAATAATTCTAGATGTAGATAATAGTTTACAATTAGATTTCAAAATTATTCAAGAGAACTGAATTTCATTTTACAACACTTTTCACCAGTACACTAAAGGAAAAATAATCCAAAAGTAAATATGAGACAATAAATGTGATAAGTTCTTGAATAGAAGGTGATTATCTGGAAGAAAAATGATGATGATGATGATGATGATGATGATAATAGGATTTCGGCTTAGGAAAAGTTTTAGGTTGAAATGCCTATGTGTTAGTTTTAAGCCAACCATACATAATATCCTGAATGCATAGTTTTTGCTTTACTAATTAACAATAAGAAACAAATTAGTGAAGTTTCTTAAAATCCCCTCACATTTTTTGACATTTTTTTTTCAAAAATGAAATAAAAACCAATAATCCGTGTTTTAGTTCACAATAAATCGTTACTGAAATGTCGATGTCCTATTAGATTCTTTTAAAAAAAACTGTTCATTGACTAATTTAAACTTCATAACTTTATAATTCATACAATTATCCCATTCACTGAAAAATTTGAAATATTATAATAAAACCGACTCTTTAAATTTATCATGAAAATATTTCTCAAGTTCTATATATATTTTTAAAATAAACACTACACTCACCTTTCACATGCTCGTAATGTCCATGAATACACAATCCATAAACATAATATAAAGCCAAGAAGAAGTTTTCCAGGACACATTGTCATCAAAGTTTTAAAAATAAATCTTGTATCAAAACTAACTTTATTCATTGCTCCAATACTACGTGATCCAGCATCAGTAAATAATTTTGAATGTAATAACATTACACGAAATAATAAATATAATCTAAAAAACATTGGCACAGAAAGAATTAAGTCTATAGATACCATTTTAACTGAATAACTTTGTACATGATCAAAAGATGAAGATGTAGTAGATATGAATGGTGAACTAGTTGTAGCAGTAATATGACTTGGAAATGTAGATAAACCAGAGAAAGGTTTAAAGCTGGTGGTTCTATTTGCCGTCAGCTTGGTTGTCATTCGTGTAAGATTGTTCAAATTCATTGATTTAGTGGTTTGTTGGCCATGATAAAGAGGTGAATAAATCTCTGTTCCTGGACCAACTAAGGAAGACGATACAGGGAATTGAATAAGATATGATCCTGGAAATGGATGTATAACACAAATGAGTACTTCAAGTGTCATTTGAAATATACGATTATAATCTACTGCCATTCTCCAGTCTTCAATGGAATCATCACAAGAAAATATCTAAAAATTAAAAAAAAAATTAGTAAACAAGACGAAATTTATAGTACGTTTAATAACAAATGAAAAATAAAAAAAATTTAATTTAGGTGGTTGATTCTTTCGTTTTTCCCAAGTTTATGGAATGAAAATTTTAAGTGATACTAGGAAACATTTTAACGTGGATTTTCGCATTTTAGGCAAGTCTAAATCAACAGTTTTCAGGGACATAACTGCATAAACTTGGATTCTTAGTGACATTGTTTATTAAAACTCACAAGACTAATTCCTAAGTAATTTAGATTTTTGATTCAGTATTTAGATGACAGCACGTATATGTTTGTAAATTAAATGATATCACTGTCGTAGTAAAATAGCTTGTGAAAAGCTCGGCAAAGTATTGATTGAAATGTTTGAAGGACGACTGAAAATATCAACCCATAGAAGTATATTTACTTTACCATCTTTACTATTATGCAATAATAGTATAGCAATAATAATATCCGAAAAACGGACATTCATCCAACTGAGACAACTGACTGGTCATGTGATAATACCCATAATTGGAAGTGGTTAGAATGAGTCGATTTAGTAATAAAGTTAACATAAAAAACTGGTTTAATCAAGCAAGTTATAATTTAGTTTGTAATGGTCTTCTTCATTAACAAATACTAAAACTGTTTGCATTGAATTTTTGAAATGAAAAATCTCAATGCTTTTAGCTTTTAGTTAAACAATGAAAGGAAGGTATACAAAAATGATAGACAAATTTAAATGCAGGAAATGCTGTTTTATTTAGTAGTTAGAAAATTTATCGGTTAGCTGTAGTAAAATACAATGTTTCCAGGTAGATGGTTGAAATAAGAGTCCACTTGTTGATAATATAAGCCTGAAAGAAGGATGGAATAAAAAAATTTGATGATAAGAAAGAGAATAGATGAGAACTGTAAGTTCAACTGCTTTTCGACTAGTTACAAGTAGGTATAACTATCTTCTAATGTAGCCTTAAATATAAATATCCTAACCGCCCAGTAACTAAGTATTTTATAGAAAATAATGTTCAAGGAACATTTGTTGAAATTTTTGTGTACTCTAATTCTTCATTTACTGTATTTTCAGTGGCTTAATACAGAAGCATTTTGAAGGAGTTTTCCTTCAAACTAACCTATACAGTTAAATAAATTAAGACAAAGCAAGTTCGAATAAAATTTCTATGCTCTACTAAAGATTTGGCATCTCAATAACTCAAGCTGGAACTCTACATGCAAAAGCTAAACGTCAAACCTCTCATCCTCTCCTAGCGCTTATTCCCACCTGCCCACCGAAGAACTGTTTCAAAAAGTACATCATTCTTCTCGAAGGTTATACCAGGAAGAGCCACATACAAAAACAGATTGTTGTTCAAAATTTGATAAATATGGTATTAATCTTAAACAAACGTCGGCCATTACAATAAACAAATTACAACAGGAGGTCACTTTGGCCCGTACATTTAACATTTTCTAACACTGGTTCGAATCTCATGTTCGTGATAAGTGTAAAACAACACATAAGGAATCTTTATTATTCTTAAATCAAGTGTAAAACAGCATAAAAATCCAAGTGATGTAATTGAATTTCTCGTAAGTATCAATATGAGCGAAGTATTGTCGTGGCCTTTGACTGCTAATTGGTGTTCATGTAAAAGAAGTTGAAGAGGCCGTCCATTTTGTCCTTTATAGTGTTTTTTACAGTGTGAGCAATTTATTTTGTAGATGAGAACGCAACACCACCACAGTCATCCACTTGAACTACAAATTTTTTCCACTGTAGTTTATAATCCACAATCCTCATTGGGAGATATTTCACCATATTTTATTCTGTAATCTAAGAGGAGTTTTATTACAGAAGTACATGTAGATTACGTAATAGCTTACAGTCAAAACAAACCAAAAGTTTACTACAGTAGTCAGTAGTCATAATCACATTGAGCAAGGCGTGATTCCTAAGTGAGATCATACAATATCCCGAAGTAAAGATAACAAATTATTGATGATGAAACGTTATTCTCAATTTAAAATATACAATTTCAATATTCAGTTACTTAATTCGAATAAGTCAAGGTTGACAAACAAACCAACAATAACAACTCACCTTGATAACATAAACGTGATAAGCTAAAATAAGACCCAGTAAGATACAAGTTGATATTGATACACATGTTTTTGTTATAAATGAATAGATTGAATCCTGTAATTGTTGAAATAGAAAAAAGAAAACTAGAAAAAAATTTCTAATAAGAAACAAGCAGAATCTATCAAAACTATTGTATGAGGCTATAAAAACAAAAAAATAATAATAGTCGTGAATTAGTCATTGTTATACCGTTATGAGACTCATCAACAGTGCACATCCATGACTCCTGCTACTCACAGGATTCGAACTCAGGACCTTAGAACTTACATGCGAACGCTTAGACTCTGGACCGGTGAGCTGATATTCAACGGTGTTAATGTCTAACTCTGACCAATCTAAGGATTTTGCGTAGCCTCACCCATTTGTCTTCGGCAGTTACTGCCTACACTCGACAAACTTGAACTTCACTAGTGATGGCTTCTCACTAAAACTCCCAGAATTTTTTCACTAGTGAGCACGATTAAGTTTTAAGCGAAAATATTTCATATTCTCCTATTTTCAAAAATATCCAGTGTCAATAAAATATGATGAAGCGTATTATTACTTAGTAGTCAATAGTAAAAATGTCCTCAATTAATGAAATGAAAACAAAACCTTTCCATCAAAATTCTTGTCACGAAGTGAATAAAGGTTTTCTTCCGACTTTTTGGGATAAGATCTGTTAGTTAATTTTAAATTGAATGAATTCAAATTCAAACAAATTGAAACTATACTGTGATGTAGAAAAATCTTGTCAATGATTTATTGTGAACAGGAAATTTAAATTATAAGTCAAATATATATATATATATATATATATATATATATATATATATATAATTAGTGAATTAAACCTTTCAATGATAACAATAAGATATTATCATTTTCTTAAAAGTAACATTTAACTGCAACCTTCGAAAGTAAAGATATAAGTTTGAAATATTCATTTGAATAACACTACATAATTTTCATTCATACAATAAAATCATGTTTCAGATAGTTTCCAGGTTAAATTTACTATTTTAAATTTATTAAATGATTTACAAATAAAAAGATGGCAGATTTTTCTTCAATAAATATAAAAATATTTTGAATATTACTTTTAATGACATGGAATATTGTATTAAAAAGTATATTCATTTAATGTTCCTTTTTCGTAAATAAATATAATCATTCAATTTCAAATGTCAAATGTGAGGAGATTTCTGTATTCGCTGGACAACTTTAATTAACAAAGCAAATTATCATCAAAAGCAGTAGTTTAAGGTATACATTTCTCAATTACCAGAAAAATACCCTATTGATGAATGATAATATAATTTGAAGTGTACATTTAAACATTTATAATTAAGGTTATACTATGCATACAATGATAGAAACAAAGGATTTTCAAACTAATTTATACACTGTGTCATTTTCAAAAGATTCAAGTATATTCTTACTTCGGAATATGTTTTATATATATCAAGCTTTGTTCCATGATAAAAGAAAATTCATTAAAAAATTGGTAATTATTTTATCGGTTCATCAGTGAGCATGTAAAATGATAACCATAATGATAATAATAATTAATATTAACATTATTAGTGGACACAATGAACTATGATATCAATTTTCTTTTTTTATTCTTTTAAGGTTGTAGGTCATAATGAACAGTAAAATATAACATTGAAACATTGAACTAGTCATTATTCTATGAATGAAATCAATTAAATATGTTTTAAGATAATATAAAATAAAAAACAATAAGTAATTAATTATAATAAGAAAATGTCTTCAATTACATATTCTTCTTATCAATAGTATATTATTATTATTATTATTATTATTATTATTATTATTATTATTATTATTTGTACTAAAGACCTTATTCGCGTTCATTTTTCCTTTGTTTTTTATACTTTCAATAATCACTATTTATGTATGAGTTCATCTATATTTAATTGTTCTAATATTATTCGTAAAACAATTTATGTTAGAAGTAAACTAATGAATTTACAGATATTTTAGTGACGTTAATTACGTTAGTTTGAAGAATCCTCATAAAAGGTTAAATGCATAAAGACACAAAAGTTTTGTTGATAATTGTAGTGCTGTAGTACTAGGAATCTGAGAAAACATATTCACGGTTTACAAGTAATCGTCATTAAGAAGTTACTTTATGTAAGAAATTGTTGAAAAGTTAGTGGTAAAGTATTAACTGCTGAGACAAGCTGACTGAAAGTGATCCAGTCACACACTGATGAAATTGCATGGAAATCATAGCATATGATGAGTTGACAAAATTAAGAAGGTTAGATTCATTGATTTGACACTCTCCGTCGATTCACGATTTTCGGATATATTGTAATGATGATTGATAGGCTTTAGTAAAACCTATGTTCGGTGTTCTTCTGCCTTTTTATGTTTCTCTAGTAGATGTCTATTTGAAGGTCAAAGTCATTTAAGATTGATAAATCCAAGAGGTGCATGAAAGTTAAACAATAAGAGAATAGATCTGAAAATACTAACTGAAGAAAAAAACACTATGTAAACAAAGGATTAAATAGGAATCAGTCAATTTGATTCTGATAAAAATTTATCACTAAGTAACTGTATGTTTTGAAAAATCGGGGTCTAATAGCATTAATTTGGATATGATAAAATTGACTACATTTCATTTGACCGTCAATACTAATACAACCTCAATTAAATTACGTAGAAGTTTACTTCAATTAAAATGTATAGTGTTATTTTTTGAAACGTTCGTGTCACAGCTATTCATTTAATATAGCATAGTAAAGTTTTTCTGTATTAATGTATGTCCAGGAAACATGATCTTTAAAAGTGGATAAGTTATTAATGTTACAGTTATAGATTATTTGATGAAGCCAACCAGCTTTAGAGTATGACAATAAATGGACATGACACGTTAACATACAAAGCGTTTAAGATTCGTCATTTGAAGTGGTTTGGCTATGTGTTATTCATTCACAATTTTTCAACTATTTGGAAATGTTATATATATAGGATGGTCATATCGATACTAAGGATGATATCTTCTTTTGATTAGTCCTCAGATTTATTGATTACATTTTGATTTGAAATGAAGCATAATGGCACATATGAATTAACTAATTATCTAGATAGGAATTTTATATGATTACGACAATTTCGGTATTTCTTTCCTCAAAAACTATTCGTTATTTGATTCCTTTATTTTCATTAATGTTATTGTCTTACCTCTCTAATGAGAGTACATATACTAGTGACAATTTCAGTCTTTACTAAAGTATATCACTTTGGTGTTAAGCTTATTTTTTTTGTTCATTTGTTAAAAAGTTCGGTAAATTTTGATTTCTAACGGACATATCATAGATCAACTTCGTAAATAAATAGCATATAGTTAAGATTGTAAAGATTTGAGAAAAAGGGAAAACGATTACTTGAATGACATAAATCTCTGTGTTTTAGATGTAAAACGTTGGAATTCAGTCCATTACCAGGTTCTAAGTTATTCATTATGATAACAACAATGGAACTACAAGGAATCATGAGTTAGGTTAAAGTAATTTTGTGCTGAACAGTTTCTAATCATGTTCTCTGTTATTCATGGACAAGATAAGATGATATCAGTTGAAGTCTAGCCTTTGAATCTGTATGCAACCTGAACTCTCAGGCTGATTTTATGGTCAACCTTCTCAACGAATGTTTAGTAATTGTGTTTTTTACATTCATTTGATTCGGTATTTAAAGGGCGTCAACTTATTATAAGCTGACACACCTTAACATGTAAATAATTAAGGTTACAAAATTTTCTATTTTCTTTTCAACACAATACCATAAAACAATAAGTATTTGTTTGAGGTTAATTTAGGTGATTAAAAGAAAAATTATGAAGACCACATAGTTTAGCTTTGTTTAACAAAACAATAATGAATATACAATAAAACTTTCAGAAAATGTTTATTAGAACATCAAGTGTAAGGAAAGGTAAATTTTATTTGTACCGCTTATTAAATTTTGTAAACTGAAAGTAATTTATGCTTCATACTGTTGAACAGATATGAATAGCTGAGTTCGTTTACAAATTTTTTTGCTTTAAAAATTAGCTATTGGAAATTCGACGAAAAATTATGTTTATTTTTAACTTTCATAACTGATTGTTTGAATAGATAAATCTATTCAAGCTATAAGTATGTTAGTCGTTTTTCTTGTCTAAACCGATAAAACAATAATTGAGAAAGAATCATGGTGTTCAGTTATCAATTTTAAAAAGAATCCGAAGAATTCTTAATGCAGCGAAACTACAATTATTATTTTTCACATTTTCAATGGTCACTCCGAGATTGAAAGATAAATTACAGAGATTAGTTTCTCTCAGTCCGAATGTTCATGCAGAGCAAATCACATTGGCAGATGTTCAAGGAGTTGGTATTTTCGTGCTCGCGAGGATCTCCCAACATGTTTAAGCAAAGGTATAGTTAAATCCGTTACGAGTGAATGAACAGAATTCATTAGAAAGCATATTCTTCGCTCTTATATCAGTGTTTTAAAAAATAATAGTTAGTTTAAACACTGTTAACCTATGAAGAATACAGATACATACTACATAGTTTGTAAGTAGATAGTAGCTGGTCATTAAACATTATTCAATACATTTATCCATGATTTTTACCAGTATGGTAATTTTCATGAGTGGAAATTTCAAATGTGATTCTACATAATAAGACATTTTTAGTGGTAATTTGTAGTAATTCTCTTACTAAGTTAAAATGCTACAGCATATTTATGAAACAGTGAGTTTAGTTTTATCTGCTACAGCGTATTCCATCCATCGACTGCCTATACATGCAATGATGCCTGGTATAGGAATGAGTTAGAAGAAAGTAAGTTGTGGCCGAACTAAGACATGAAACCAGTTCATGAAATTACTGGATTTTATTTAAATCAAGAAACATTCAAATTTTAACCACTAATGGAAACGTGGAAGTGTTGGCGGTTTCTTCCTAGTAAGGGACTTCGGAGCAGTGAGCAACCACGACTCCGAAAGAAGAAACCGAAACCAGGACCTTCGTTCTTGAAAATTACTGGCT